TATACTTGGGAGCAGCCACGGGAGCAGCTGAAACAGCTGTTTTGGAGCAGGTTGGGAGCAGCTGCAACTACGTTCTGGAGCCGGCTAGGAGCAATTTCAATTGTGCTTAGCAGCACGGATGAATATGAGTGGTTAGGGACCTAGGTAGATGGGATAGTAGTGAAGCAGATGCGAAGACTTGAAACTTTGTAAGCCTAAATGAGAATCAAAAAGCAAGTACCCTATGTTTCTGAAGATAGCGTCCTTGATATTTTCTGAGTGGCTTTCAGCTGCTCAAAATGCAAACCAGCACTGCTTATCGCAGAGCCCACACGTGCTCGATATAGTAATTATATGTGCAAACCACGTGACGTGCGTAAGCAACGGACGTGCAGTTGCGCGGAGGAACAGGGCAACAAATTTCGAGTTTATCCTATTGGGCAACTAAATATCGAAGCAGCAGACTACGATTGAAGGCCCGTTCACACTCTTGCGACCGAGTACGACTGAGAGAGACGAGATCTCTTAAAACTTGTTAAATGTTTTTAGAATGAGGGGACACACTGGGCATTGTGGCGCCATCTATGCGGTGACCCTGGAACTGAATTTCACAAGAGCGAAGGTTTTGCGGGATTTCATAGGTCAAATGTGCGTAATACCCATAGAAAGGCTCGTTTATAACATTGACAAAAACTTTTCAAGCCAAGAAAGAAAGGATAATGCGTGAGAAATAAAAAAAAATATGCCGGACCGCTGAGTTTACACTGCTTCCCAATAGATGGCGCCTGTGTGTTTTCTGGTTTAAGAAGTTTTAAGGAACCCAGGTTTAAGAGGTCGTAAGAGTGTGAACGGGCCTTAACGGAGTTATCGTATTTGAAGCGATAAACAGGAGCAAGGTTAAAGTACGCCGAGCAGATCTACCGCTCGCGTGAGAGCTGCTGGCCGGCGAGGTTTCGGATTGGACCGCGTTTCAGTGCTATCAAATCACGATTTATCTTGCGGGAATGCGGTTCTAACTTCTAACGATGAAGTACTAAAAAGAATACTTTGCTCATTTGTTTTCAAAAGGCTAACGTCTGAATCCCGGGCCGCAGAGCCTCAGGGAATCTGACGCTTAACGACCTCACCTCGGCCGACTTGCTTAACCGCTGATGGCTAAAGAATAACAATCCAGTCGCAGGTGTAGTCGCAGGTGTAGGTGTAGCGCTTGGAATTCGAGTTTTTTCGCGTGCTTCCGACTCACGATAGACAGGAAGAATAAAAAGAACAAAGGATTGCAAGGCCAATCAAGCTAAACGCGCTCATTGTTGCCAATCGAGTCGATAAAAACCGAAACCAAGACAAAATACTTTTTTTTTGTGCACGTTTTGCAATTTGGCACATAATGGCGCGAGGTATTGGCTGTGGCGCAGATTCTGCAACATGGCGCATGGATGGCGCAGACAAGTGCGTCTGGCGCAAAATGGCGCAAATTGCGCAGCCGTACCACCCCTGGGTCTGCGCAGGCAGAGTGAGGCACCTGAGGACTCCCTGGACCAAGAAGGCCCATGGACAACTCAAGGAAGAAAGAAGAAAAACCCAGAACCGACCCCTCAACAGAAAGAGGCACTGGAGGGGAAAGTGGCAGCCCAGATGGCCAGGCTCCAACGAGGAGAGACTAACACGGTACTAGTCCACCCCCTTCCAGGATCAGGACAATTCCATATGGGAGACAAAATACTGATAGCCAGAGTACTGTCGCTCGCCAGCGAAGGACAGGCGACGGCTGTACGTGTAAACACACGGAAAAACGTGGCGGCAGTAGACACACAAGACCCCGCAGCCATCGAAAAGCTTCTGCGGACAAGTCGTCCAAAACATCACGGTCCGCACTCACCTGCACATCCCACAACGGGGAACCCAAGGCGTGGTCCGTCCTCGCTCCCCGTCGAAGAAAAACCATATCTAGGGGGGTCTACAGGCAGCAGCACCCATCACGGACACCCGGGTCTTCGACAAGGGCAGGAAACTGCAACTGCACTTCGACGGCCCCCGCCCCCGGCACGTGGAACTTTGGGGCATGCGCCTCCCGGTCCTGGAGCCGAGGGCGAGGCTGACTCAATGCGGAGGGTGCGGGCGACTGGGCCACCTTCGCGCGGCGTGCACAGACCAACTGGCCTGCACAACCTGCAAGGCAAGACACGGGAAGGGTCAGTGTCCAAGCACACAGAACCCCACCTGTCCAAACTGCGGTAACCCCCACGGAGCCTTCGACCGACGCTGTCCGGCCTACCAGCACGCCAAGGCAACAGCAGAAATCGCGGCCCGGAACGGAGGTGACTGGAGCGCGGCCTCCAGAGAAGCAAGCGGACTAGAGCCACGGGACAGTGTTTGGAGCAGGGGACCACCACCGACCCTCCGCGGCAGAGCGAACAGGCACGGCTCTCAAAGCGGACGACGCGGGGACGCCGGCGAAAACAACAACACGGAGGAGATCCGCACGGGACGCCGACCAAAGGAGAACTGCGAGGCCCCGCCCACTCCGCCGCCGCTGGGACTACCGCAGCGCCCACCGAGACGGCGGAGAACCCGATGGGACCGGCCATCGACCCCAGCGGAACCTCTTCCCTCTCCCACGCAGCTGGGAGACACGCCCACAACCGGAGTGACAAGCGCAGACAACTACACCCTCTCCCCCAAGGTCGGACGGCGAGCGCAAGGCCGGAGAGGCGATGACGAGGCAGCAGCTGCCAGAACAACAACAAACGAGGGAATCCCCCGGGAGAGGAGGAGCCCCGACGCGAGGGAGGAGAGAGAGAGGTGAGCGCCGTCACCAAGGAGACAGAGACAGCGACAGGGGAAGCCACAAGCGCGGGGAGAAGCCAACTCAAGGGGGCAGGGGCCACGACGAGCGACAGGAGAAAATGCACGAGCTCGTCGCACAGCTAATGAAGATTGTTGACGCGCTGGTACCGCTACTCGAGGAAGGAACTGGCCAAGCCGTGAAGGAGTCAGCCCGATTAATCCACCGCCTCGTGTCAACCTAAATCAAACCAAACCCAGCATTCAAACCCCCAACCCAATCATGCCTAAAAAAATTAGAATCAACCAAACCCAACCGCTCCTACCAAGCATACTACAGTGGAATATCAACGGCATACAGGCGCACATCCAAGAATTAAAACTACTCAACGAGGGACCCGGAATCAGTAAAAACTACCAAATTATCGCCATCCAAGAACCCAAGGCCCCCGCCCACAAAATTCACCTATTGGGTTATGCATTGTACACAAGCAGAGCTGGAAGACCGGGAGCACACCCACGCGCGGCCCTGCTCATCAAGAACGATCTACCGCAGTACCGTATAAACCTCGACGATCTCTGTGGAGAGCGGGCAGAATATGCGGCGGCGTAGGTGGCCATACAGGGTCGCCCCATCGTGGTGGTGTCCGCCTACGTCCCCCGCGGGTCACCGGCTCGCAGTGGAACCCTCGAGATGTGCAGGAGATCCGCAGGCGCATCCCCACGGACAGCGAGGGCATCACCTGCGGGGATTTCAACGCTCACAGCGAGTCGTGGGGGGACGGGAGGATGACGCAGCGGGGAGCGGCCCTACAGGCAGTCCTCGACGACCTGGACCTCGTGAATCGACGACCTGGACCTCGTGAATTTAACACAAAGGGCTCCAACATACGTGGGACCCTGCGCAAGTGAAAGCGTCATAGACCTCACGCTGGTAACAAGAGGACTAAGAATTACGGCAACTCCGGCTCCGGACAGCGGAGGCAGCGACCACCGACCCATCATCATCGGAAAACCAGGCCGCGCCCCCCAAAAGAGGTGCTCAGTAACGAACTGGGACGAATACCAGAGTCGGCTAAAGGCAGCGGCCGCCTCGGGACAACCCCTCACCACCAAGCTGATAAAGGAGGCCCTCGAGGAGTTCACCAAATCCATCTCGGTGCCCTGCTTCAGGCCAAACCCTGACCTCAAGTGGGTGAGACTACGGGCCCAAAGAAGGCAGGCGCAGAGGAGATCCTGGCGCACAAAGTCAACACAAGACATCGTGGAGTACCGGCGCCTAAACGCGAAGTCTGGGAAGAGACAACGCTTCCCAACGCTGGAAGCGCGCAGTGAGCCAAATGCAGTGAGTACGACTCGCGAACTCACCCCCCCAGTCGCCCTACAGCCCACACAGGTCAGGACAAGAGAGGCCTCCACAAACACGGAGCCCAGCGCCAAAATCCCCAAAGTCGGTAAGCCGCAGCGGCAGAAAGAGGAGATCTATCGCAGGTCCTACCGGGCAGACAGCCAGCAGCAGCAGCGAGTGGGCAATGACCGGCGCGCAGCTGATGCACGGCACCTGTGTTAATCCTCTCCCTGCGCGGGCGACTGCCCCAGTGGCGAGAGGGAGAGGCCTCTCCGCCAGCAAGGGAAGGTACCCCCCTCACCTCCCTTCCCTGCAGCCTCCCCAAAAGACAGCGCTGGGGATTCCCCTCGGCAGGACGAGACGGCCACGCCCCCCACCGCGCAGGAAATGCGCGACATGATCAACAACCTGGAGCATCTGCTCCAAACACTAATCCCGCTTTTTCTTAAGAACCAGCAGGCTACCGCCATGATCCCGGAGGGGACCATTCTACATAGCATCACCTCAGGGATGCAACGTTCGCGGCAAGGAACTGGGAATGCCTATTGGGCACGGCAGCACTGCCAACATGAGGGCTAACAACCCATTCGTCTTTCTCGTCCAGATCCTGCTTGACATTGTGCTGGTGCCGGTCAACGTCAACAAGCTGAACGCAGGCACCGATGCTGCGCGCCGCGACACGCCGTTCCCTTCCGTCATCGGAGGAATTGCACCGACGCTGGACGACAGCAAGCATCTTATCTTCGAACCTGGAATCAGTCGTTCGTTTTTTGATGAACTTTTATCTTCGACTGTGACATCACCGTTTCGGGCTATAAAACGGCGCAGCGAGACGCTCCACGGCATTCGGCACGGCAGCACTGCCAACATGAGGGCTAACAACCCATTCGTCTTTCTCGTCCAGATCCTGCTTGACATTGTGCTGGTGCCGGTCAACGTCAACAAGCTGAACGCAGGCACCGATGCTGCGCGCCGCGACACGCCGTTCCCTTCCGTCATCGGAGGAATTGCACCGACGCTGGACGACAGCAAGCATCTTATCTTCGAACCTGGAATCAGTCGTTCGTTTTTTGATGAACTTTTATCTTCGACTGTGACATCACCGTTTCGGGCTATAAAACGGCGCAGCGAGACGCTCCACGGCATTGGGCACGGCAGCACTGCCAACATGAGGGCTAACAACCCATTCGTCTTTCTCGTCCAGGTAAGCAAACGATTTTGCAAGTCCTACCGTAGCAATAATGTTTGCTTGATTTTGCTGCCGTGCCCACGGTCCTGTTACTTGTGGTTGTGCGATGTGTTTTTCTCTCTGAGAATGCTACTTTTGCTGAGCGGCGATGTTGAGGTCAACCCTGGTCCAGAAACAGGCGCTATTTTACAAAAACTGAAAGAAATCGCCCGGGACATACAGGAAATTAAAAATGAAAAGGGTATAACAAATGACAGACTTTCTGCGATCGAGCACAAACTGGAAAGTCTCAGTACGCTTCAAAAGAACGTCAGTGCATGTCGGGAGAGAATAACTGAACTTGAAACGACTGTTAAAATTATTACCAGAAAGGTAGACGACTTAGAAAATCGAAGTAGACGGTCGAATCTGATTGTCTACGGAATTAAAGAACAAGAGAACGAAAACAGTCAGACACTCGAAAGAGTGGTCGTAGGTGAAATTCTCGAGAGAATTCTAAACGTACAAATAGCAGGCATCGAAAGAATTCACCGCCTCGGGAAACAGGCTGATAACAAGATCCGTCCAGTCATACTCAAACTACTGGACAGTAGAGATAAATCAAAGATACTGAAAAACTGCGTCAAACTGAAAGGAACAGATTTTTCAATCGGTGAAGATTTCTCCCGACACGTACAGCAAATACGTAAGAAGCTTTGGGACCGCACTAAAGCAAACCGAGATAAGCGAGAAAAGGTTTTCTTAACATATGATAAGGTTCGCATAAATGGGCATCTCTATGCGTGGGATGAGACAAAAGAAGACATAATTCCCGTAGAAAAAAACGATGTTCCCGACGAAAACTAACCGAAAGCCACATTCTGCCATCTAACCTTAGAGTCGTAAATATAAATGCAAGGAGTCTTCAAAATAAAGCATATTCATTGGAGTCCTTTCTCTTAGAATTTAATCCACACATAGTTACAATCACAGAAACGTGGTTACATCCCTTAATACTTGATAGCGAAATTGTCCCACCAAATTACATCATTCTGAGAAAAGACAGAACGACTAGAGGTGGCGGAGTAGCAATACTTCTAAAACGAGGTATCCTCTACGGACATATGCCTGATGTGAAAGATGTTGAATCTTTATGGTGCAAAGTGTCATTCGATTATTATTCTGTTGTTGTAGGTGTCGTTTATCGGCCTCCAAACTCCGACCACAAGTGTCTGTGCAACTTATATGATTACATGCAACAACACATTAAAAATCAAAGGATTATTATGGCTGGCGATTTTAATATACCTGAGGTAAACTGGGATTCGCTGCAACTTGGCACTGTTACCTCTGATGCAATATTAGACATTTTATTTGCGTTTAATCTGTCACAAATCGTCAGAGAGCCAACACGGGTGCAGGGAACGTCCAGCAGTCTGCTTGACCTTGTATTTCTTAGTGACCACTTCCCCCAGAGCCAAGTCGATGTTGAAGTAGTAACGGGCATATCCGACCATAAAGCAGTTATATGCACCATACCTATACGAACATCTAGGTTCTCATATGGTACCATCAAAACTGTACTTGATTTCAACAGTGCCGATGACGCGTGTATATTAACGTACCTTGCTCATAGATTTTATGATTTCCGTGAACTTTGTGACGAGATAGATGTCAGTATTGACGACATATGGAACGAGTTTAAATCAATTATCACGCACTGTGTTACACAGTTCATCCCAAAAAAACAAAAAATAACAAGAAAGCACAACCCATGGATCACGCGAGAAATTATCCACCTGAAACGCAAACTCAAGCGGCTAAGGAAGTCATCAAAAATACACTCCCTCCAGGATAACACCGACTACAAAGCAAAGATTTCAGAGCACTCTAAACTTCTTAAATTAAAAATTAAAGAAGCCAAACATAAGTACTATAACGTGACCCTCCACGAGTTCATGAAAGCGTCACCTCGGAAATTTTGGAACCACGTTAACCCTAAAAAGTCTCAAATGAATTGTATGAGCTCCATAGAGAAACAAAAAATGGCAGATGAATTTAACAATTACTTTAAGTCGGTATTTACAGCTGATGATGGTAATGACGGTTTAACTTTACCACAATGCAACACTGCTGAAGAACTTGGAAGCCTAATAGTTATGGAACCAGGCATATTTGCACTTTTACTCAATTTAGACACCAAAAAAGGTAACGGTCCTGACGAAATTCCGAATATGTTTCTTAAAAGATACGCCGAATGGGTTAGCAAGTATTTAGTGTTCATTTTTAACAAGTCTCTCTTCCTTTCTTCGGTACCCGCCGAATGGAGTTGCGAAAGTAATCCCTATACATAAATCTGGCGATAAAACTCTAGCCTCAAATTTTAGGCCCATATCACTTACTTGCACCTGCTGCAAACTTCTCGAGCATATTATTCTCAGTCATGACATCATTTGTAGAAAATAACAATATCTTATTCCCACATCAGCATGGTTTTAGAAGTGGACTATCGACCGTTACACAGCTAATTGAGATTCTTCACGATTTCACGATGGGCATAAACAACAGAAGTCAGGTAGATGCAGTGTTCTTGGATCTCTCGAAAGCGTTTGATCGCGTTTCCCACGACAAACTGATAATAAAACTTAAACATGTTATGGGCGAAGGACCGATAATTGCATGGATTGAAGACTACTTAAAAAATCGTTTCCAATTTGTTTATCACGAGGGACAAAGTACGCGACCAGTTGCAGTAGTATCCGGCGTCCCACAAGGTTCCGTTTTAGCTCCATTTTTATTTCTACTTTTCATAAATGACATAGCCGATGGCATTGATGTTAACATAAGATTATTCGCTGACGATTGTATCATATATCAAGAAATTAAGAACCAAGACGATCACATCCTACTAAACAAATCTCTTAAAAAGATTTCCGACTGGTGCGATGACTGGCAAATGGTGATTAACAAAGAAAAAACAGTCTCCATGAGTTTCACGAGAAAGAAAAAGAATGTCTCCCAGTTTCAATATAGCCTTAAAGATGAACCCTTGCATAGAGTCACCGAGTATAAGTACCTAGGAGTCTTAATAACATCTGATCTTAACTGGAACGCACACGTTAAATATGTATTTAATAAAGCTCTCACGAAATTATTCCTTCTGAAGAGAACCTTAAAAGGTTCGTCTTGTGAAACAAAACTCCTAGCATATAAAACCCTTATACGTCCAGTGCTTGAATACGCAAATATTGCTTGGTTCCCTCACACGAATATAAACATAAACACACTTGAAAGCCTTCAGAGAAAGGCAATTAGGTTTGTTTATCATAAGTATGGTCGTTTTGACTCCCCTACAGAGCTTCTGAAAAGAGCAGGTTTACAGACCATTACTGACCGCGCAACATTAAATCGTCTAAAATTTCTCTACCTTCTTTTACAAGGCGCCTTTAAGATTGACTCATCCAAGTACGTACAATTGTCTAACACAAGACCGACTAGACACAAGCACAGCCATACACTTGTTGACTATTCGTTTCATAATAACACCTTTAAACACTCATTTTTTCCCTCTGCCATTAGAATCTGGAATAGCCTTGATCCACACGTGTTCAGTCACGGCACTGTTGAATCATTTATCAATGCAGTCGAAGATGAACTTTTTTCGTAATTATTGGATGTTTTGAATGACGAGAAGTGTTGTTCATTCGTTGTTAAGTGCCTCACATGTATCTTTTTATTGTGTACCAATGCCTGCAATAATCCCTTCGGGGATTGGCAGTATTTTGAAATAAATAAATAAATAAAGCACTAACAAAACAAGTAAGCCTAATGCTGTGAAAGGTTGCCCCTCGATCCTCCAGTGGAACGCGAACGGGCTCGGCGACCGCCTCACCCACCTGAGGGCAGAACTCTTGGCCAGGCCGTACGAGGTGGTGCTGGTGCAGGAGCCAAGGATGGACGCAAGCAAAATAACCATTCCCAGCTACACCGCCTACTGCTGTCCCGGCCGGGAAAAACAATCCTGGGCGGCCGTGCTCGTCCACAAAGACGCAACCCACTGCCGGATCGAGAACGCCGATTACTGCTCAGACACACTGGAATTCGGGTAAAGAAAAATAACAAGACATTCTCTATCTCTTCCTGTTACCTTCACTCCCGCGCGGCGTGGGGTGGAGAGTGCAAAAATACTCCAAAAGCCGGGAGACGTCATAATTAAAATAAGTACACCGACTTGACATAACAGAAAAAACAACTTCATTAGACGTTTAGTCGCGCTTTGAGGCCCCTTGGCATCCGAACTGTTTTCAAGCCATACAGAACTATTGGAAATTCCGTTTCCAAACCAAAGGACCCAACCCCGGCGAACGTCCAAAGAGGCGTTATCTACAAGATCCCCTGCAGTGACTGCCCAGCGTCCTACATTGGTGAAACCGGACGGAGGAGAGATACCAGACTCAAAGAACACAAGCGTGACGTCACGTACGCATCCCACGCGGCGCAACTGAAGACTGAACTGGTGGACCATGCGTGGACAATGGGGCATTCTTTCGACTTTCAGGCCGCGACGACCTTGGCGAGAGAGGACAGATGGGGGCCCCGAAAGCTTCTAGAATCGTGGTTTCTTCGCAGGGACACATCCGTGTGCAACAAAAACCGCGGCCCTCTCCACGAAGCTTACATGGACATTTGTGATAAATAGCGTTGAGTTTAGGTTGAACCCTGCATTTGCTGTGTAACTACTGATGATGCCTCCCGCATGGGAGGCGAAACGTCTAATGAAGTTGTTTTTTCTCTTATGTCAAGTCACTTATTTTAATTATGGGGTGGAGAGGTCATAAAACAAATTCACGCGCGAGAAAAGGGTATAATCATTCTTGACGGAGACTAACTCGCATAACGAGCTGTAGGGAGACGGGAAAATGACCGTGCGCGGCAAGCGTTTGCAGGAGGCCCTTGACCAAACCGACTTGGAGTACAGCGGAACAGGGCAGCCCACATTCATCAGACGAGGTGTCAAGCAGAGCGTACTCGCTTTAACGTTCTGCTCGGCGCAATTCCCACTGACCACGGTGCTCGAGCAAGACAGCTGGGGGAGCGACCACATTCCCATAACATCGGGACCGGTCCCACGGCCACCCAATCGAACGTGCAAGGTGGTCCACTGGGACAGGTATCGTGCCTTCCTCCGCCAGTACGAGGTGATGGGCTGGCTCCTTGACAGCCAGGCCATCGGCGCCGCACTCAAAGAGTCCACCACGACAGTGAGTATCCCAGTTGAGCGCCCTAATCCTGACTTTCGCTGGCTCCAACTCCGAGCACAAAGACGCCAGGCACAGAGGGTGGCCCTGCGGACGGGCCGTCACGAGGACACACTCCGGTACCGACGCCAGGATCGACTCTTCAAGAGACATGGAAAAAGGCTCGCCAGGGAGCGGTGAAAGCAGAAGTGTGAGTCCTTCGACGGCCCCCGCGGGGCCACCAAGGCGTGGAAAATGGCAAGGACCCTCTGCGATCGACCGGGACTGCGAGATCCGATTGCAGGTATGGCGCTCGCGTTTAACATTTCCGACGCAGACATCCGAGAACTTCTAGCAGACGCACTGCTCTCCCCTCCACCCGCGCCTGCCGCCCGAGATGCACCGCCTGGATGGCGAGACTGGAAGTGGCACGCGAAGCCCCAGATGACAGAGGGGCTCGGAGACTTCCAGCTACACGAGTTGGAACGCGCCCTGGCATCGCTCCCACGTAAAAAGTCGGCCCCTTGAGCCGACGGCGTCACCACCGCAGCGCTGAGAAACCTCGATAAAGCGAGCTACCCAGCGCTGCTAGAATTGTTTAATCGTGCGTGGCGAGATGCCAACATCTCTCCGAATGGCTTTCTACAGTCGTCGTCCCGATTCTCAAGCCGGGTAAGCCCAGAAAAGATCCCAGCTCGTTCCGACCCATCGCGCTTACGTCGTGCATGGGGAAACTACTCGAACGAATGGTGAAATGCCGACTCAAATATCATCTCGAGTCGGTGGGCGGATACCCGGAAAGCACTTGTGGATTCCGACGGCACCACTGCACCGCAGACGCCATCGCGGATCTGGTGACCACGCTCGAGGAAAGCAAGGCAAAGAGATGGACGAAGGAAGTCGTCCTTCTCGATGTGTCTAAAGCATTCGACGCCGTCAAACACTCAGCAATTCTGGACATGCTCAGGCTGTCAGGAATCGAGGACCGACCGCTCCGTTACGTGAGGGCGTACCTCAGCGGCAGAGAGGCATAGGTGCGAGCAGCGAAGGGACTCAGCACTCCCAGGAAAATCAGGTGTGGCGTCCCCCAGGTGGGCGTGCTTTCCCCCTTGCTGTTTAATGTAGCTATGGCGGCCCTCCCGCAAATTAAACATTGGCCATAAGGGAGTCAAACGCCTCCAAATAGCGGTTTACGCAGACGACATTGCACTTTGGGCAACTGCTCGGCGATGGCACCGAGCGGCCGTGCGGAAAGCTTTGCAGAGAGGAGTCACCAACATTGAGCACTATCTTTCCCTGTTCGGCCTGTCCCTCTCCCCGAGCAAGTCCGTCGTTCTGTGCAATGCCCCCCACTACACATATCGCTTCTCAATGTCAATCAAAGCAGGCGGCACAGAAATTCCAATCAAGAAGCAAGCAGCTTACCTGGGGGTGCAACTGGACAGGAAAGCCACATGGGCTCCTGCGGTTGCAGAGGTAATCCGTAGGTGCCGACGCTACACGCGTATAATCCAAATGCTCGCAGGCACTTGCCGCGGAACCTCACAGGGTATGCTGTTGACCCTTTACAAGGGATTGATTCTTTCTCGTGCACTGTACGCACTGCCGCTTCTATCACTCACAGACAACCAGTGGGAACTGCTAGAACGGATGCAACGCTCTGCACTTCGCGTCTGCCTCGGAGTCCCCCGCACGGCCTCCTCGCGCCATACACTGAACGACGCAGGCGTCATCACGGTAAGACTCGCAGTGGCCGAATGAGCAATGCGACACCTCATCCGGATCGGTGAGTCGAGGGGCACAACCGGGCTGCCCGAGCGTATTTTACAACGCACACGGTCCCAACTCGCTGCGCACGCGAGGAAACTTTTTTGGATCGCGGGCGGCCCGGGGAACAACTCTACACCACTACCACCGAACGAGGAGCCTCCGCTGCGAGCCGAACTGAACGCAGGTCTCGGTGCACCAAAGAGGCGCATGGCTGCAACGACGGCGAGGCAGCACGCGGAGCATCACATTCACGAGCACTTCCTGGGCTGGGCGAGCACGTTCACGGACGGGTCGGTAAATCCTGCGAGCTACTTGGCCAGCGCGGCGGCCGTGTCGGAGGACACCGGCCGCACGGAAAGTTATTTGAAACGACTCTAACAATTGGACTCCTGGAACATTTTTTGAATCTAGTGCAAAGACTTTAAACGTAGATCCGGCTGCTTTGGAGAGGGGAGGTTTTTCAGTAGGTGGCACGTTGTTTGGATGTGTGAGCACGCTTGGTGGCATGGGATGTATGAATTGGTCGAA